TGAGCGGAAAATATACAAGGACATGGCTCTAAACAAAGACCTAGACCATAGGGGCCTAATAGATATTTATAGGGTATGCCACACTGAAAAACCTGAAATACACATTTTTCTCAAGTACAATTGATCACTCTCCACCACTGACCACATATTGGATTACAAAACAGATATCAACAAATACACGCAGCATAAAATCATACTGTGACATGACATGATAAGCCAAACCTGAAACTGTGGACAAAATAATGTGGTTTAACTGTCTTTGGTGAATCCTCTCACCACCCCTGCACCTCTGGCCTGTACCCCAGTTCTGTATGCATAAATAAATAAATCTTTAAAAATTAATAATAATAATGTGGTTAATAAGGAAGGTATTGTTAACAACACATGCACACAATAGCAGTAAGCCAGCCAAAGGAAGTTTATTTAAAGACACAGGCCAGCTCCTAGGAGCAAAGCCATAAGGTTTAAAGAAACAGAATAGTGGGCCCTCCCTGGTGGGGCAACCAGTTAAAGCCCAGCACTGCAAGGGAGAAGCAGCCACTTCAGTGGGAGTTTGATCCCCAGCCCGAGAGGTAATCCACATGGTGAGGCAGATCTCTCCTGACCTGCTTGCTACTTCCCCTCAGCAGCGTATTTTAGTCAATCTGCCTGTTCTGCTCCCCACTCTGTCTCTGGTGAATTCTCTCACCACCCCTGCACCTCTAGCCTGTACCCCAGCTCTGCATGCATAAATAAATAATTTTTTTTTAAAGGCAGACTAGCTTGTGCCAGCAGCAAGCAGGACTGAGGAGATTCATGTAAGGACATATACAAAGCAAAACAGTTCCCATGCACATGGGACAAGTCCTGAATGGGGTTGCCACCAGTGAAAACAACTTAGAGATTTTTATAATTATTCTCATGTTTTGGGTCTAGGGGATAAGTCATTGTATTCGTGCAGTTTCTTGATTGGTCAGTCTTGCCTGCCCTAACATAGACTAACTGGTAATAGTGTCATGGGTTTTTGTTGACTTTTCTCTCCTCTTATATCTGCTAGGGTTCCCAAGTCTCCCACACCCTGTCCCTATCCTTCCTGTTACATCTCCTTGGGTCCTAATCTTTACCTGCCTATCAAGGTTGAACCCCTCCTTACCACTACCTTCCTTAACCATAAAGGTTATCAAACTAGAAATAATAATAAAGAAAAAAGGATACCCAACATGTGGAGATTAAACAACATGCTACCAAAAGAACACTGGGTTAATGAGGAAATTGAAAAAGAAATTTAAAAATACTTTCAGACAAATGATAGTGAGGACACAACCTCCCAGAAAATATGAACACCTTAAAAGCAAAATAAAATATACAGTGATATAGGACCACATCAAGAAAAAGAAAGAACCCAAAGAAACAATCTACTTTCTAATTACTTGGAACAAGGAAACAAAGAATTTTTAAAAGTCAGTACAATGAAGGAAATAATAAACATTAAAGCAGGAATAAGTGAAATAGAAATGAAAAAAAAAAATCCAAAAGATCAATAAAGCAAAAGTTGGTTTGGCTGAAAAAAAAATAAGTAAATAAACAAAATAGACAAGCATCTAGCAGGTTCACAAAATGAGGGAGAAAAGTCAAATAAATAGGATCACAAGTGAGGAAAAGAAATTCTAAGGGACTGAGCAGAATGCCAGAAGATGATAAAAGATTATTATTAACATTTATATGCAAATAAGTTCAATAAACTATACGTGATAGAAAAATTCTCAGAATTATACAATCACACAGCTGAATAAGGAAGAAATAGGAAACTTGAACAAACCAATTTTAAAAAGGAAATTAAGGCCCTCCCTGGTGATGCAGTAGGTTAAAGCACAGCACTAAGAAGCTAACAGCCACTTCAAAGCATTACCAAAAGGGCCATCCTACAGATCCAATGCAACTCCAATAAATGCCTAAATGGCCTTCTTCAAAGAACTGGTACAGATACTGCTAAAATTTATATGGAATCACAACAAAAGTCCAGAATAGCTAAATTCTCCTAATTGACAAGTCAGAGAACAAAGATACTACATTCCTAGACCTCAAACTATAATACAAAGCCAACTAATGAAAACAGAAGATGTTGAAAGAAAAAAAGACACACAGCCCAATGGAATTGAATTGAAATCCCAGAAATTTAACCACACATATATAATAAACTAAACAAAAACAAAGGTGCAAGGAATATACCAGAAATAATAAGGAAAGTCTCTTCCCTAAATGGTACTGGGAAAACTGAACTGCTACATGCAAAAGAATGAAGCTAGACCACAATATCACATCATACACAAAAATCAATATGGATAAAAGACTTGGTGTAAGACATAAAACCATAAAATACATAGAAGAAAAAAAACAAGCGAACACTCCATGACATAAATAAAATGTTAGACACATCTTTGAGGAATCAACTCCAAAAGCAAGAAAACAGATAACTAAAAAGCAGTCAAAATGAAGAGACATCCTACTGAATGGGAGAAAATATTTTAACATCATACAAATGACAAAGGACTGAAAATCAAAGATCTAAGAACTTGTACAACTCAACCAAAAAAAAAAGTAAAAAGTAAAAACAACCCAGTCAAAAAATGGGCAGATGAGCTAAAAGAGACTTCTGAAGGAATGCAAATGGCCAAAAGGCATAGAAAAAAGTTCAACATTACTTATTATCAAGGAAATGCAAAACAAAACACAACCACCATATGCCCATGGGAATGGCCCATATTAAAAAGAAAGAAAAAAAAACTAGAAACAACAAATTCAGGCAAGGATGTAGTGAAAAAGGAACTCTCTTACACTGTTTGTGGGAATGTAAACTGGTCCAGCCAGTATGGAAAACGCTGTTGGGGGCTCTTCAAAACACTAAAAATGGATCTACTTCGTATAGCTAAGTAGCTAAACTCCTAGGTATCTACCCAAACACAAAAACACCCATTCAAAAATAACTATAACCTTATGTTTATTGCAGCCCTATTTATAAGAGTTAAAATATGTAAACAACCTAATTCCCCAAAACAGATAAATTAATTAAGATGTATATATATACACAATGGAATTCTAATCAGAAATAAAAAAGATAAACTCATGCCATTTTGTAACAATGTGAATGGAGTTGGAAAGTAATATGCTAAACAAACTCAAAACAGACAGAAGGAAAAAGATAATTATCAGATGGTTTTTACTTATAGGTGAAATATAGAAAAAAACAAATGAACAAAAATTCAAGACAAAGACAAAATTGCAATCTGACCATAGACCTGAGGCACACAGCAGGTGAGGAAGAGAGAAGGGAAGGCCACATAGGGCAGTAGTAAGGGATTACAGGTACTATGTGCTAGGAGATCTATGGGTATGGGGACTACGCCTGAAGGAAGAAATCAAAAACTACCCAAAAATTGATTTAATAAAATAAATTGATTTAATTTAAAAATAAAAGAGAATCAAATGGCAAATAAAATAAATCTAAATTGAGAAAGAAATTAATCTATCATTGTTTTCAAAAATATAATACATATAGAAAACCCCAAATACGCCACTGAAACAATAAATCAGTTCAGCAGAGTTACACTACAAAACGAATACAGAAAAGTCAGTTGCCATCCTATATGCAAATAATGAGTCAGAAAAGGGAGAATTTACTGAAGTGATCCCATCTATAATCATACCAAACATAATAAAATACCTAGTAGCCAACCTAAAAAAGGAGGTTAAGCACCTATACAAAAAGTAAATAAGACTTTGTTAAAAGAAGTAGAAGACACAAAGAAATGTCCTTCCTCATGGGTTGGAAGAATTAACATTGTCAAAATGGCCAATACAGCAATTCAATGGAACCCCAATAAAGAATTTCAGTGTAACAAGAACTATTAAGTGTCATATGAACCACAAAAGACCCTGAAGATACAGAGTTATCCTAACAAAGATATAAAATGAATGACAGTATAAAAGAATGATCGTATCACACTTCCAGACATAGAATATAAAGTCTCAAAAACTAGAACAACATTATTCAGCATCAAAAACAGAAACAAAGACCAATGGACTAGAACTGAAAATCCAAAACTAAACTCAAACATAAATGGACAGTTAATCTATAATAAAGTAGCTAAGAACATACACTGACACCAGAATAGTCTCTTCAATATATGAGACTGGGATAACTGGACAGCTTCATGTTGAATGAATCTAGATCATTATCTCTCATACCATTCACAAAAAATCAGCTCTAAATGAATAAAAGACTTGGATATAAGTCCTGAAATCATAAAATACATGGAAGAAATCATGGACAAAACATTTCATGACATAAGCTTCAGTGATGTCTTTTTGAATTTGTCCCCAGGAACAAGGAAAACAAAAGAGAATATAAACAAGTGGGACTTCATCAAACTACAAAGTTTCTTCACAGAGAAATAAACAGTAATAAAATAAAGAGGAACCTATAGAATGGGGAAAAATATTTATGCACCATACATCTGACAAGGAAATGATATCAAAGATCTGAAAGAATTCACATACTTAATGAAAAGAAATAACCCGATCAAAAAGCAGGCTGATGTGCTAAATAGGTACCTCTCCAAAGAAATATTAAGGTCATTAAAAAGTGGTCATCACCACATATCACCCTAGAAATAGATTATCAAAACCACCATCTCACGCCGTTGATAATAATCCATATGAAAAAGACCAGAATCATTACATAAGTGCTGGTGAGGGTGTGGAAAAAAAGGAACCCTCCTCCACTGTTAGTGGGAATATAATCTAGTCCAGTTTTTGGTTCTATGGAAAGCAGTATAGAGATGTGTCAAGAGATTACAAATAGATCAGCCACAGACTCAGCAACTCCATTTCAGCATATCAATCTGTAGAATACAAAAACACTAATTCAAAAAGAGCCTGCACTCAAGTGTTTTTGCAGTACTATTTACAAAAGTCAAACTTGTGTTTTGAGGAGTAGAATAATATTCTGAATGGATACCTACCTCAGGTCCAGTAATGTGCATCAGGCCAGAAACTGCAGAAGCAACCGCATCATAGCCAGCTCTCTGAGACAGTGGACCTGTTTGACCATACCCTAAAACAATAAAATAGATACACTCAGCACCCTGCAGAGAGATCAATAGTACAGTGTGTGCATCCAGAAATTTGAAAGGATTTTGTTAATGGAGGAGGCAATAAAATTCAATTGCAGTGTTACATTGTTAACTTATGTGTTACATTGTTGACTTTTCTTGAAAAAAAATAAAAAATAATTTCTAAATTATATCCACATTCTCCTTTAGCAATAACCGATTAGAATTAAGTAACATCTCTTCCCTTTACACTGAACATATATCATCCCATATACCAGTCTCCACCACTCCTTACCTTTCTACACCTCAGCCTAATTCATTCATTGAAATTACCTCCCAGACCTCAATATTTGCTATTCTTTCTCTATAGAAAACAATTTCTAAAATAAAGTTAAACTATATGCCCCTGGGTTCTATTTATTTATTATCTCAAGGATGGAAAAAATACATAAATAATAATGAGATTTTTTAGCATAAATAGAATGATTAATATCTTAACATTGCTTTTTAAAATGAGGCTACAGTTTCCGCATCAGCAAAAATCTAGGGAGAACAAAAAATATTTTCTCTGCTCTCTCAGTGGTAGTTTTTATTGTTAATAATAAAGCTATTGAATACCAGGACCTACATGAATCTGTCTCCAAACTCCATGTACCAATCAGGCAGTAGCCAGATGAAGAATAATTCCATTACCCATAGCTGTTTGCTGAAGTTCCCTGAATACTGTTTTTAAAAAATATTAACAAAGGGTATCTCTGGGTCTTTGCTTTCTTCTCCAGCCACCTGGATAAATCTCCCTCTATTTCATTCCATCTATCCACACTCCACACTCTCTTGTACCCTCTACATCTCCAGATCTCCTTATCAGAAAGGCCTTTCCTGAAGAATTTTTTTTTTAATTTATTTATTTGTAACTGGGGTACAGGCCAGAGGTGCAGGGGCAGTGAGAGGATTCACCAGAGACAGAGTGGGGAGCAGAACAGGCAGAGCGATGAAAGTACACTGCTGAGGGGTGCAGTGGGTGGTCAGGAGAGGTCTGCCACGCCATATGGGCGCCACATGGATCACCTCCAGGGAAGATGGGGATCGAACTCATGGGAAAGTGACTTTAACTTCTTAGTACTATGCTTTAACTTGCTGTACCACCAGGGAGGGCCCTCTTAAGAATTTTTTTAAAAATAATCCTCACATCGGTTCCTCAAACTGCTAAACATGGAGCTTCCCTATGACCCAGCAATCCCACTCCTAGGTATCTACCCAAAAGACACAAAAACACTGATTGAAAAAGATACTTGTACCCCCATGTTTACTGCTGCTTTATTTACAATTGGAAAAACATGGAAGCAGCCCAAATGCCCAAAAGTAGATGACTGGATAAAAAAGATGTGGTACATATATACAATGGAATATTACTCAGCAACCAAAAAAGAGAAACACATGTCTTTTGCAGCAACTTGGATGGAGCTGGAAAAGATCATGATTAGTGAGATAAGCCAGAAAGAGAAAGAAAAATACCGGATGGTTTCACTCATAGCAGGAGTATAATGGACCAGGTGAGAAAATAACAAAAATAATGAACAGCCATATACCAGAGACATTTTGTGGGGGTGGAGTGGGGAATGGGATCAAAAACGGGGGAGGAGGGTAGGGAGGGAAATGCACGGGACTATGGTGGTGGCATACGGGTGATTTGGTGATGGGAAACCCACAGGGATTACAATCGAGATGGAAAAAAAAAATGTGCAAAATGATGTAAAAATAAACTTTTGTAATAATTAAAAAAATATATCATTAGAATAAATAAGATGCTTTAGCAGAAAATAAATGTTTCAAACAGACTAGAAAAAAAAATAATCCTCACATCTTAGATGCAACCCCCATACTTTACTATCTTTGTCTTTATAGCCCTAAGCACCACAAAATATATAGTTATGTATGTAAGGAATGGTTTATTTTCTGTCTGTTCCCTTAATAATAATGTGTGCTCCAAAAAATGAAGAATTTTCATATAATGTCTATGGCATTGTAAATTAGTCCAGCCTTTATGAAAAACAGTATGGAAGTTCTCTATCATATGATACAGTGATCCCTCTCACAGATATCTACCCAAAGAATATAAAAATATGTTCATTACAACACTAGTTACAATAGTCAAATTATGGAAACAACCTAAGTGCACTTTGTCCACACGAGTGGACAAAGAAACAACTAACAAATGGCAATTATCAGTTCATATCTATCAATAATTACTTCATTGTATACTTATCCAATCAAAAGATTCAAGGTAACTGAGTAATTATTTTTAAATAAATCTATGGGCTATCTATAAGAGATTCACTTCAGTTTTAAACACCCACATTGAATGTGAACAAATAGAAATAAAATATTCATTCAAACAGAAGCAAAGGAAATAGGTGTGGCTATACAGAGGTAAAGTAGACTTTAAGTCAAAGATTATGAGACAAATCTATTCCATAATGATAGAGGGTTAATCCAACAAGAAGCTATGGTATTTTTAAATATGTATGCACCTAATATAGAAACATTTAAATATATAAATCAAATCTTAACATACCTGACAGGAAAAAAAAATCACAAAAATACAGTAATTCAATATATTATTTCCAACAATGGATAGATCATCTAGATCAAAAACCAACAAGGAAACACTGGACACAGATGATAGGAAAACAAATTTAACATACATTCATAAATCATTCGGTCTAATCACAACAAAGTACACATCCTTCTGAAGCACACATGGACTGTTCTCCAAGATAGGTCAAATATAAGGCACAAGACAAATCTCAATAAATTTTAACACTGAAATCAATAAAACTAGAATCAATTATAAGAAGACAACTAGGAAATTTTAAAATACATGTAAATTAAACATGCTCTGAACAATATTAAACAATATGTCTCTGAATAGCCAATGATCAAAGCAATCAAAATAAAAAACAAAAAATAATATCTAGAGAAAAATAGAAGTGGAAGTACACATATGAAAATATGGAGGATGCACCAAAAAAGGGTCTAAGAGGGAATTTTATATCAATACAAACTAGATTATTAAGCAAGAAAGATCTCAAATAAACACCTAAATCTACACTTTAAGGAACTGAAGATAAAAAAGAACAAACTAAGCCCCAAATTGGTAGAAGACAGGAAATAACCAAGATCAGAACAGAAATAAATGAAACAGAATAAAAGGTCATAGAAGATATCAATAAAGAGGAAGCTGGATGGAGAGCCAGAAGACCTGAGGAAGCCACATGGAGCAGCAAGCATGTGATGAAGAAACCGTGCTTGTTTCCTGTGTTCTGTATTGTATATTCACTGTATTAAAGTCCCTTTTCATTAAAGTTTTATATGTTTTGTCTTCTTGCGGCGGATGGCAGAACCCACTTAGAGCAGGCAGGATTTTGGGACTTCAGGGGTGTCCCTCTCCCCCTGTTCTGGAACAGATTTGGGGTGCCCTATAACAGATTTGGCGCCCAATATGGGGCAGGATTAGAGCCATCCGTGGTTAGTGAGCCCTATGGGGAAAGTTGGGTTCCCCATGGCACTTAAATGCATATGTGGTTTTTGTTTCTAGTTTTTTTCAGATGCAGATTTGTTGTTAAAAACTGGCTTGGCCTTGTGAAAATTCTATGTGCATGTGCACAATTTTGTTGTGGTCACTTGCTAAGAGATTTGGTTTTGTGGAAATTGTGTAGCAGTTTTACTCAAAGATAGTAGGACCATGTGGACAGATTAAAGATGGCGTCTGAGGCCACTTGGCTGGCTTCTCTGAAACTTGAAAGTTTTTGTTCTTTTAGGCTCCCCCTAAGATTTTCTACTTCCTTTGTTAACTAAAGTTAAGTTGCTAGGACTTTGGATTTTTTCTTTTTTTACCTCTGCTGTTTTACAATTCTTGTTAGCATTTCTAAAAGCAATGCTGGGTTTTTCAGAGGTAGGTTCCTTTGACTTTGACTACTCACTGATCTCTGCCTTAGGGGTCTGTAAACCAACAATGGAACAGTGGTGTTTAAATTAGCAAATGTATGCTTGGATGCAAAGAAAGACTAAGCCTTGATAAGTAACTGGTAAATACTGGTAACCTTAATGGATTCGTGGAGATAGCTTGAATTTTTGCAAAGGTTAGATCAGAAAAATTAGAAAAGAAAATATTGAGTCTAAAGGGTTTGCTGTTGTGAATTTTGTCTACACAATTTGTTTGGGGCATATTTGCCATTTGAATTCTGGATCTGTTTGATTACTGGTGTAAGACAAAATTCTAAGATTCTGTTTCCTACTGAGGAAGGTCTATTGTGGAAAGCACTCTTTATAGTGTATGGCGTAACTGTACCAGGTTTTCATACCTGTATTGTTATGGTTTCTCCCTTGTGTGGGAAGGTGCAATCAATAACTTGTATGTTGAATTTGCTCTTTCAGCTTCTGTGCCAAAGTGGGTAACAGAAGTAAGGAGATGACTCCTTTTAACTGAAAGTTAACTGCTGATTTTTTATTTTGTTTTTTCAGGTTCTGTTCCAAGAATCCCAAGAATTGCAAGCTTAGTGGCTAACAACATGATAACGACTGATTTTGCTTGAAAGTTAACTGTTTTTACTTTTGGTCTGCTGTATAGGACACCCAGGATTGACTTCTAGCTAGTGGAAATGCTTAAACACTGGAAAACATATAACTCTTGTGATTAATGAAACTTTTTCTTCCTATTTCCAAAGTCTTAGGTTTGTAGGATAACAGCTGAAACTTGTGATTTTCTGCCAGCAACACTTTTTTTTTTTTTGGAATTTGAGATTTTTTTCCTGGCCTATATGAGTAAAACTGCAGTTACATAAGTTTCCACGTGGCATAACTAAGAAAACTGTTTTGTCTGTATGTTGTATGTCTGTATGTCTTGTCCTTGTGCTTGACTGTCTTGGCCTCGAGGTGCTATAAAATTGGTTTCGGTGGTACCTATTGATATTGGGGGGGAAAAAAATCAAACAAACAAAAC